AATGTTTCACAGCCAAATACACAGCCAGAAGTTCTCGGTCGTATGCAGAATACTGACGCTGAGAGTTACTCAGCTTGCGGGAAAAGAACGCCAGTGGCTGGAGACCTTGTGCTGTAACTTGATGAAGGGCAGCGCCCACAGCAGAATCAGATGCATCGACGTGAAGTGCAAGGGGTAGCAGTTGGTGAAGGATGATATACTAAGATTGTTTCTGCTAAATGTGATTTACATGACTCAAATGCCTGAATCGAATTGTCAGTCCATTTAATCTCATGTTGGTCGTTTTTCTTTGTTCCTTTAAGTAGGTCGTCTAAAGGAGCTTGGTGATGGGCCGCGTGGGGTAGGAACCTACGATAGACGTTCAAGATGCCTAAGAACATTCTCAGTTATTTGAGGGTCTGTGGTCGCTTCTGTTGAGTTACGGCAGATACACGTTCCGGAAGTGGCATAATGCCGTGGGGAGACACCATGTATCCTAAGAATGATACATGTGAGGCAGCAAAAGTACACTTGGATGCATTGATTTGCAGACCGTACTTGTCTAGGCGTTGAAACACTTGCCGCATGTGCATCTTATGTTCCTCCCACGAAGTGCTAGCGATGAGGATGTCATCTAGGTATGAAAAACAGAAGTTTAGGCCTTGCAGAGCTTTATGCATGAATTGTTGGAATGATTGGGCTGCGTTGCAAAGACCAAAAGGGAGGAAACGAATTCAAATAGCCCAAATGGCGTTGTATTGGCTATCTTTGGCACATCATCTGGGTTAACTGGTATATGATGNGACGACGGCGTCATTCGAGAGCTTCCGACGGACTGACGACAGTGACGACGCGTGTCACGGGGGAGGGGTGCGGTGAAAAGCGAGTACAAGTGGCTGAGAGATAGAATCGGTGCCTAATCCTCGTTAATCGATTCAGAACGATTTTTAAATAATTTTTTTTTGATAAAATAAATATTTGCGTATGGAACTAAAGAGCGGCAGCTTCACATTCAAAGAGCCGCACGTGGCTCGCGAGCCGCAGGTTGCCGACCCCTGACCTAACCAAATCAATCAAGACCGACAAGTACTTTATCCGCACCTTCTCAAATAATATGTTTCAATTGATTTGATTTCAATTTTAATTTACATTAATTAATTTTGATTTTATTTTTAATTTTAGCTATGATTTCGGTTTTTGTTTCGATATAAAGAACAGTTTTTTAAAATTTTAATTTAATTTTAAATTTAAGTTAAATATTTTTAAAATTTAATTATTATTTTTTGTTTTAATTAACTGACTACCTAGTTACGTATAAATACAGACGATAACTTAACAACACTGAGCGGCAGTTGCGATTAAGAGTCCCACTCGGGCGGAGTATTTTTTTCATAAAATTCTAGTCCGATAGGTTCGATAATTCGGCAGATCGTATGGCTTTAAAACTATTTTTGATTGGTCCCACATCTTCCTAATTTTTAAGTACATGGAAATGACCAAAAAAGTGAGAAAAGTGAGAAAATGACCTGAAAAGTGAGAAAAGTGAGGATACTTCAGAAAAGTGAGAATAAGTGAGAAAAGTGAGCGACTCCGAGGCCTGCGGGCGCTTAACTATGCGGCTACAAGGAAAGCGGGATAGTCTTGTATAAGGCTTAGCCCGAGTCACGTACTCCTAGTCTTCCTATTGAATTTACGATTTAGAAACTGATCATACCTGCATATCCTGTTAAAAAAGTTCCACCATAGACACAGAGTTGTTCGCTATCCAATTCAGTCGAAAGTCCAGGTAGTTCATTAATCGGATCACGTTCGGGTCACCACTTTGTCATTCAATCCTACTGATGTTTTGAACTAACATTAAGCAGTCAAACATGAACAGTAACAAAAACACTTTATTAGAAAGGTCAGAACTGTGACCGACATCCTCGGGCAACACCCGGACAAAACCAACGAACTTTCGCGCCTTTTTCGACGTTGCCAGCCACTCTTCTTAGCAAGTGTTGCCAGACAGTGTTCGGGATCTCTGGCGCTGGCGGCCACAACGGAAACCTCCCTGATACTCCCCTATGTGAGCGTCAACTTGCTTTTCTAGTCTGGTTCTTATTACATCTGATAGAATTTTGTACGTTATTGGGAGAAGTGATATTCCTCGATAGTTATTTGTATCTGTTCTGTCTCCTTTCTTGTGTAGTGGACGGATTAATGCACATTTCCACTCATCAGGTATCTCTTCCGTTTCCCAAAATTTTAGAATTACGTTGTGCAGAACTTTTCTTAGGTTTGGACCAGCAATCTTCCACATTTCAGCTACAATACCGTTTTCTCCAGACGCTTTATGCATTTTTAATTTCTGGATTGTTTTTTGTATCTCTTCTAAGTCAGGTGGTGGAGAGCTAACATTTTGGGTTTTCGGTCGTTGGAAATTTAGCCTTTCTTGGGGCTCCTCACAATTCAGAAGTTTTTGAAAATAATTTGCCAATAGTTTGCAGTTCTCGGAGTTGCTTAGCGCTAGTTCACCATTCTCCTTTTTAAAACACAGAATGGGAGATTGATGTTTTTGTAATTCTTTTTTAAAAGTTTTATAAAAGTCTGTTGTGTTATTCTTTTGAAGGAGTCTTCAATGAGTTCTAATTGTTTCCTGTTGTACATCCTTTTGGCATTTCTTAGTACAGTATTTTAGCTGTAGACTTTCTAGTTTCTTTGAAGGTATTATAGTTTTCCTGGGTTTTATTTGAGTACCATTTTCTCCAGGCATGGATTCTATTATCTAAAGCTTCATCACACTCTGCGTTCCACCATCTGTGTTTTCGGGATCTTTTTAGAGGAGCAATTTCTTCAGTAGCATTTGTGATGTTTGTTGATATTTGTTCCCAATTTTCACTGTCAATGTCCTCGGTCATTTGTCTGAATCTGGAAGACTCTTCCTGAAGTTTTGTTCTATCAATTGTCTTGATTTTTTGAGTTTTTCTCGGTATTTTTCTTCGGAAAATCATTTTGGTTTTTATTTTTGTCAAATAGTGATCTGTTTCAAAGTTAATTCCCTTTCTGACCTTGACATTCAAAATTTCTTTTTGATTCTGACCACATGATCTATTTGAAATTCTCCAAGTTCCGGATTGGGGATCTTTATGTTTTCTGTTTCCTTGGAAGTTATTTTGAAATTTGTTGACATTAATTTGAGGTTGAAAGCCTTACAGAGCTCAATTAATCTTAGGCCATTTTGGTTTGTCCTTTTGTGTGCAGGATACTTGCCTACGATATTCCGAACTGATTTTTCTTTCCCTATCTGCGCATTGAAGTTACCCACAAGAATCTTGACATTTTCATGGAAGATTTTGCTTATTTCATCCTCCAATTATTCTTAGAACTGCTCCACTTTAGTGGGATTTTTCCTGTTATCTTCATTGATTGGTGCATGACAGTTGATCAACGTGTATGACTTGTTTGCACATTTAAAAGTTAAAAGTGATAGTCTGCCCGATGGGGATTGAAATTTCGTAATCGAGTTTACTATTCTATGTACGCAGAATGCCGTACCAAGATGGGGTGTGTTCCTCATTATCCTTTTACCGGGTTTCCCTTTGAAGTACCTGTAGTTCTCTGAATCGGTTATGTTGACATCTGTGAACCTCGTTTCTTGTATTGCTAGGATTAGGATGTTTTCCTCTCCCAACATCTGGTTTAGATGCTTTAATTTACCCACTTTAAGCAACAAGCTAACATTTAGTGTTCCAAAGAAGTATGCCACCTTGGGTTTGATTTTAAGGTTTTTAATATGCTCCAATTTGTTTTCGTATGGTGTTTTGGGCTTTCCAGAATCCTCAGGCCCAGTTGCGTTGCCTATGACAACGGTGGATTTTCCTTTAGGGTTACCACCTGGTCACCCTAAAGGGTCACCTGGAGTAGTTTTACTTTTGAACTTTTCCATCATGCATAATTGTTTGGAATTTAAGTTTGGGGAAACAAAAGCAGATGTTTTGTTTCAATGCTACAACTAAGATTGTAAGTCCTAGAGGATTGTAATCAGCCAATCCTGACATGGAGAACCGACGCTGACCAGAGTACCGCTCGATACGAGAACCGTCGTGTCTCGATTTAAATTCATCTTAGAAAAGGACTCTGCCGCCATCACTGCCGTTGGGACTATTGTCCTCCTCCGTCACCGATGTCGTTGGTCCTCTTCGTCTGTAGCCCTAGACAGAGTGCTATCATCCGGAGCTAGATGAACCCAGGTTTTTTTACGAGGTGTTACTCCTCCCCCTCCTCCTCCTCCATCTCTTGCGCGATGGAGCTCCGGGCTTGGGACTGGCATTAGCGGAGTTTACAGGATGTTTAATAACACTAAATAATTATTTTTAATTAGCGTCGTGTCTCGTACCGGACGATAGGACTATCTCATACTTTTGTTGAGGGAGGTAGTGGCTTATGTATGATAAATCCGAAAGCAGCTCGGAAAATTATTTTTAGAAAATTTACAAACGTATTACGTTGTTGATGGTAGAAGATGCTGTGAAAGAACAAACCTACTCCTACAGAATTATGATAAGCTATTATGAACAGAAACATATGTAAATTCTATAGTCACTTCACATCACTTACAAAAAAATTAAATAATTTCTGGATTAAAATCGTCTGTTTTTTTACAATATTATTCATAAATGCTTAAATAATCATTATTTTAATAAAATACATCATAATTTTAACCCGAAACACAAAAAAACAAATGAAGGAGTTTAAGCCGAACTTCTACTTACCATGCTAGACATAGCAAACGCCATTATCAACCTTCTAGAATTGCCAGATAGCGGCGCTTGACGTCCGACATTGACGTTTTGGTCTGAAAACGTCGGCCGCAATCTCTCTAATGAGCGTTTTCGTTCTTTGAGCCTAACATATATATTGTATTTTTAATAATTAAACTTTTCACGATTTTAAATTATTTAATAGCAAAACTATTAAATAATTTTTATTTTTATTTTTTGTTATGTTATATTATCTTGTAATACTCTGTAGGATTATAACTTTCATTAATTTTGTTTTTATTTGTTGATTAACCGATAATGGCGACATATCTCGGTGAACAGACTAACTAATGTTCGAGAGTGTATTGGGGTTGTGTTTGTGAATTTGACGTTATGGTAATTATAATTTTCAAATATTTTAAAACTGAAGTATATTTAATATCCATTACTAAATATTTGTTTTGATACAATTGCTGCAAGAACACATCACAACAATCACTACAGTTTTTTTTCCGCGTAATTTTAAACTAATAACATTTGGAGCAGAAAACACGTGTTTTCTGCTTCAAACGCGTTTAGATTTATATGTAATTGATTGCATCACCTGTTGTTTACAATTATTTTTTATTGATTTTCAAAGATAATGGGATCTCGTTTTCGTTGTTTCTCTCCAAAAAAGAAACCGTCCTTTTCAGTTAATGTAAATGTATTAATCAAACTGAAACAGAAATCTAGATCAGAAGTTCCCAGCCTTTTTTATTTGTTTACCTCCTTTCTAATTCTGTATTTGCTGACTTCTTCCTAACGTAAGAAATAAAACTCCCAAAATAGGATGAAGTAATTAAAAAAGTAGTAGTAGTAGTCAGTGCCATAACTAGGCAGGTGCAACAGGTGCACCTGCACAGGGCCCACTTGGAAAGGGAGCCCAAAATGCATGTATTTGTTTTATTATTTTCCCAAACCTAATTAATTAAGGGGCCTAATTGCAAATTCTTGCACAGGGCACAGGAATGGCTAGTTACGGCACTGGTAGTAGTAGTAATTATTTTACTACACATAAATCAAATTCAAAATATGTGTTTTATTGTATACTATTTAAAGATCATTTGTTATTCTATATTATAATCCACTATATGCTAACATTTTTTTGTTTTGTGTGTTGATATATTATTACATATTGGCAGCTATTAACTATTTAAGCTCTGAAAATTTCTATATACCTGGAGACGAAATTGTTTTTACCCTTCAGGCTACAAGGGAAATTTGTATAGCAAAATCAGTCAAACAATTTTCTCTTTGGCTGATTTCACCTTGAACAGATTAATCTCACTTAATTGTGGAGACCCTTTTAACCAGTATGATGTAGTCAGGTCCAAAGATTCCCAATATGGTTGTTAACAATACAAAGAAGTCAATTCATTTTAAAGCTGAAACGATAAAGGTCTTGAAAAACATTTTATGCAAATTAAATACTGACTAATGTTTCAAATGTTTGTTGTTTGAATTTATGTTAGAGTATTGTTAAGAATTTAGATTTAATGCATAAATATATATGTTAAGAGGTTTAAAATAAGATGATAAGAAATATGATTTATAAAAATTTATTATTATATAATAAAATGAATAAAATAAATTATATGTATATAAATTTTTTCTAGGAAAAATTAAGTGAATCTGAAGGTACTCAACCTACCAAAACATTGATTATACTTTCCAAGCCACAGACAGATAGGGTAAATATAGTATTTTTAAATTTAATTCTATATTAAAATGTATGTCATATTAATTAATAATCAAGAATTAATTTTGTCTTTTGAAAATTTATTTTCATACAAGAGATGATTTTGCCTTTTGGAGAAACTGTATATGGTCAGACAATTTTCTTTCACATATTTTAAATAGTTAATTAAATGTATTTAAAGCATTACATTATTAATAATAAAATTTTAAAAATTGTTCAAAGACTTACACTTTTAAGTTTAAAAGAAAGAATTTTACATATCTGAATGATACATTTGAATAATCATTAATTATAAAAATTACTTAAATTGCAAGTAAATGTAGGATTTGCCTCATGATCTCTTGCCATTATTAGCTAATATAAATATGTTTTACAAATTATGAAATATTGGATATTTTAAACATTTTAAATTGTTTTTATAAATTTATTCAAAAAAAGAATTAATAAATTAAAAAGCTACAAAACTATTAAAGAATATTTTAGTTTGATTTAAAAAATTTTTTTTTTTGCAGCAACTTTTATAAGTTTTAGAGCTATGATTATTTTTTTATTGAACAGGATGAAATTTAATTTTTATGTTACAATGTTGAGTCAGTTAAAAATATTTATTACAAATATTTTAAGCTATTTGAAATTTAAAATGACACTTTTTCTTTTAATCTCAAAGAAAACTATTTATTCCTGTGTTTAGTTTAATTTCTCTCAAAATTCTGAGAGGTCTATAACTGAGCAGTCCTTATTGGTAAGCTAACCTCTGATTATAAAATCATTAGTGCTATAAGAAAATTGTTTGAAAAGAAAAACTGAACAATAATAACAACTGCAATAAAATTAATTGTAAATTCAATATTATATTACAATACATTACAAATATGTAGTTTTAAATTATTTAATAATGCCCTACACATTTTCAATTTTACAATAAATACTAAATTATAAATAATACTAAATTAATAAATACTAAGGATTTAAAATCAAAATTTAATAATAATGATTTTTTGATTAAAGTTAATTAATCTATATTTAAAAGGATGAAATTTAGTTAATATCTGAAATCAGTTGATTTTAACTTTTAACCTAAAATTATAAATATGGTTATAATGCTTGTAATTCATGCATTTGTATATGATTTAAATTGCAGTGTTGCTTCTTGTATCTTTTCTCATTTTGTTAATATAAGTGAATTTAAATCAAATGTAAAAGAGAAAGAGTACAGATTCAGAATCAAAAATGTTTAAAATTACAGGTAACCTCCGTATAACACAGCACTTCTATAGCACAGATTCGCTCTAACACGGTTCGAGAATTGGGTAAAACCCTCGTACAACATGAAATGTAATAAATTTTTACATACTTAAGTAATAATAGTTCACGAAAATTATTATTTTTGTGAACTATTAGTACTATGTAAATTTTCTCTTCTTGCCTTCTGTCGATACACATGGTCCTTCTCGAAACTTGTTTCAATGTTGCCAGATTGCGACGCTTCTGCTTCTGATGTTGCCGAATGTTTTCCCCTTATTTCATACAGTCGACCCCCCTATAATTACAGTCCCTATAATTACGATTCCTATAAAACTACAAAAAAATATACGTATTTTGGAAATGTTGAGTCGGATTAGTGTAGAATCGATTAATTTTATGGAAGAAAACCTTTCAATCAGCCGTAGTCTGTAAACTTGACACGTGTCGGGCTGTGATTGGAACGACTTGTAAGAAATCGGATTCCTAATAAATTGGAACGTATCTATATCTTATAGGGGGGTCGACTGTACTTGCTTTATTCTTCATAAGTGCTTAGCACCATATAAGGAAATTTATAAAGATCTTTTAACTAGAAGCAAGCAATCTAAAATTACATACATTTTTCAAAAGGTAAAGCATGGATCTGAAGATAATGCAGAAAAATGCTCAGAGGATAAGGATA